CTAAAAAATAGCCTATTTTTCTTATTTTAAACGAGAAAAAAAATGGAAATTCACAATATTTTCGAAATTTTTTTCTTCGTTCCATCGAAATTATGTACGTAATTAATTTCGATCGTTACAACTAAAAATAAAAAAAAAATACTGGATTTAAATTGGTCAGCCAGGAAAACGCGAAAGATGTGAGAGTATGCTTTCAGAATTTTTCTTAAACATCAGACACATTTGGCAACGCATAATATCATAGTATTTCAGATTGTAGAGACACTGACAAAATCTATTTGCTAATTTTATCCATTCTATGCATATCATTCTTCTCCTGATGCGATATGAAAACTTACTATTGTTCCACTTCGTTATCGAACGTTGTTCTTTCAGATAATTTTTCTAAGCTAAACACAGCAAGAAATAAATATTACATAGTGCTCAAAACGTTGCAACTTACGCGAGAAACACGCCTGAAATAGCCTGTTTTGGCGTCAATATTGAAGCGCTCATATCACTAGAAGCAAATAGCGTTGCTTTATATTCCAGGTTTTTATTAATTCGTTGTACAAGCTTCATTATTTGAACCCATTTTCTTGGGCTATTTTGCTAAATGGGAACAGTTGCTGAAGTTAGAGAAATATGAGTTCAAACGTAAACATACATCACTGGCTAATTGGTTTATTTCTTGTTTCATTCCAGCATCTAAGAACAGCTGTGTGTTTTGTTCGAATGTTGACTTTAGTGACGATAATCTGTTGTTAATAGTTCATATTTTAATGAAGGTGATAGTGGCATTGTATTCACTGTATTATCTTAATAAAAAGAAAAACGGTGAAGTGAGTAAGCAAGCTTATGTACTCATGAATGATGCGTAATATCTTTTCAAAAGAATCTGTCTATGTAAAAGAAAAAACAAGTTAATAAACATCTGAATCAGGAGAATAAAATTAAAAAATTTTCCGCTTTTTGACAACGCGTAGAGGAGAAAATGTTGTGAAATGCATAAACGCAATATTGACTAAATAACCAAAATAAGGGCTAACATTGTAACTATCACAAAGACTACTTCAATATACTGTATAGTACAGTTGGGCGTAAAAAATGTATCTTCTCTTCTTTGTCTCCTTCAACTATGTCAGAGGTAAAATATAAATTATTGTCATGAAGTAGTTTTCTTCTATTTTAGTCAGGATATTTTGATCGAGTATCAATAGTTTTTTTTGAACAGCGACAACGCCAGGGAATTTTTTCTGTTGTTTCAACATGAATATATATTTTATACGACGTACACGTGCATGAGTTAAGATGTCTGTGTTTTTGTTATTCTCATTTTAAACGAGGCATGCAGAGAGAAAGTGTTATATATTCTTCGTTTTTGTATTGTGATGTGAGAATCATTTTCACTCGCAGTCTCGCAGTTTATGCAGCTTCTGCTTTTTTAAAGCAGAGTAACTAAAAAAACAATAACTACTTTACAGAGTAAGTACGCAGCAATACCAGTGATTGATAGTAAACAGACATAAATCTTTCCCACATTTACCGTTGCAAAGTTGAAATTTTTTTTTCAATCATTCTGTGTATCAAGAAGAATCTTCTTAGATAATGCGTCAAATCTGGGTACTTTTTCGATATAGCGGCTCGATTAAACGTGTTGACTATATGCTAAGATTCCAAAATGAAAATGCACAAAAGACAGAAATCCACATCAAGATTGATATCATCGCAAATGTTGAGTATCCTCGGTGTTAGATTGCTTTATCATTGATGGCTTTCAGGATGTGGCGAATATTGGTTGGGTTCTGTTTGACGCACAGAAGATAGCGACGCAGCCAGAGCACCTGATTCACATAATGCTAGTTTGCCTCTAGCAATGATCTGGCATCAGCGTTAGTATCTACGGATATGTTTTCGCTGAAAGTCCAAGCATGAATGCTTTCTTTACATGCAGCACGCGTTACCTTATCGGCACTACTCACAGACGAGATATAAGACATCAGTCTCCCTCACTTTTATTTTGGGATCAAATAGTAGCCACATGCCAACCAGAATTGAGAAATACATGGGAGAACCTTTGAAATTATTCCAGATAAATCACCAAACAATTTTTTCGAAGCTTTACAAAAAGTAAACGTAGTTACTGTGACGATGATCGTCACAAGATTTGAGAATGAGAGGGTGAGAGTTATCATAGTTAATGATTCATAGTAATTGCATCATGTTCTCAAAGAGAAAGCCGGGTAAAGCGTCGGCAGTACTCACAGTTTTTCCATATAATCATGAGTATTTGGTTGACCAAATCTAAATAAAGAAATAACAGATCAAGAATTTATTATAGATAAAAAATTTAGAAAATATACCGGTTTAGACATTCTTGTTTTGAAAAACGACTCATCGATGTGTCAGGATTAATATCGTAATACCAATCATCCTGTTACAATGGAACGAAAACATTCATATTGAATAGAGTGAGAAAATAAAAAGTATATGGGATACTTACTTGCATAACAAGTTGCATAATTGGATCATGTAAGGCAGCTGTTAAAAATATCTTTGATGATTGTAATGATGTTAAAAATGAATCAAAAACTAATTTAAATGTCGATGAATTTCGTTGTAAAATTATTCTTGAATTCTTTTCATTTTCTAATTGTATACCACAGAGAGATTTTAAAATACACAATACTGAATATTCATCTTGTAAATACAAACATTGACCATACAGAGAACACATCGAAATAGGAACAATTTGATTCATTAATGAAGAGTCTAAAATATGAAGAATTGCGAAAGTACTATATATACACAATCCTGTGCAAAATTATAGAAATAATTTGATTTTAACATTTCTTGTTCGTTTATAATAACAACGAGAACAAATTCAAAAAGTAATTTCGGTAGCTAAAAGAGTTTTTAATTAGAAGTGATGTGTTTTAACAATAGTAGATCTCTATGATAACCAGGTCTTTAGATTCAATCGGAAAGTTTTTTGTAGATATAGAAAAAATTGTTGTTTATGATCCAGTTCGAATTTGTATGATCGTCTTATACGGTGACATACTACGTCTGCATGTATACGACGATTTAAGATCAAATGCAGTAGTTTGCGATCTTAAACCGATCGTAAGTGGACGTGTACGACGGTCGTTTTTATTGTCCTGGATGCGTGAAAAGTTTCCGATTGAATCCACAGACTTGGAGAGATCTACTATGGATAAAACATGTCGCTTCTAATTAAAAACTCTTTTAGCTATCGAAATTACTTTTTGAATTTGTTCTAGTTGTTGTTATGAGTGAAAAATGTTAAAAAAAATTGTTTCTATAATTTTACACAGGACTGTAATGTTTTGTGTTTTTACCGATCCGTTCGATTTTCGTTAGACATACTGCTAATAGATAAGGTGATTGGCGAAGATAATTCAAAAATTTAACATAGGAATCACTATGGTTGTAATGAAAATATCTGTATGAATCGATAAATTTTGATTGTTCTAATAGTTGTAACCGTTGACAACATGTTTGAGTCAATAATTTGGATGTCGAAGTTGCGATTTGCATAGATTAAAGATGTTAAAACAAACCGCTGTTGTTGAGCAATCCATGTCGTTTAAGATAATCGTTCAGCTAATTTTAAAATCTAAACAAATAAACAGACAAAATAAAACAGAAAGTTCAAGTACAAATCTACCATACCGCCTTTTTTTCACAGCACGCACTAAACACCTTTAATGATAAATTCTTTCTTTCACGAATTCTATCCAGGTAGCCAGTACCGATACGTGTCTGTCACTTTGCCTGTTAATTCTCTTAAAGGAGAAATAGTTGCCCACCCGTAATAGTTTTGCGGGATGATATTGGTCCCAATAAAAAACATCATCGAAGATAGGTGATGTACTGAGGTCCGAGTCATAGCATCGCCTCAGTCTCCTTTCTAGAAATCTAACTATGTAATCTTCAAGTTGGTCTTCGTTGCAAAGCTCAAATAATTCTTCGGCATCGACAAATGGGCAATTATGGACTATCCTCATCCCTACTCTAAATGTCCGATTAAACAGTTCAACGTAAGTTTTGGGTAAAAAAGGATAGATGGGAAAAATACCAGAGAAGAAGGGAAAGGAATAAACAAAAAAACACTGACGTCGAAGTTTAATAGAAACCGCCTCACCTTTAGAAAGCCATTTTAACTTAGAATAGGATTTACGAATTTTATCGATTGCTGCGTCTACTGTTGGTTTAAACGACATTTTATCTGAGGCGCCGAAACCTAAATATTTAAAGGCTACTACTTGCTCTAATTCGAGACTTGCCATTTTTAGAGATAAACGAGGTCTCCGAATCTGGCTATGAAAAATTTGATAGACCGTCTTGGTAAAATTGATAGGTTGTTCATGGTCTAATGAATGTTGGAGAATGCGAGCGCATACCCGATTACCTTCTACTTCAAGAAACTCTAACATCTCCTCAAGCTTCGGTCTAATTGGTGGAGTTATTGTAACCTGAAGGTCGTCAGCGAAAACCCCGGACGCATGTGCACCCAACTTGATGGGTAAGTCACAGTGGAATATGATAAATAGAAGGGGACTTAAGGAGCTTCCTTGAGGTAAACCTATGCCGATCACAAAGAAGTCTGAACCAATTTTTTCGAAAACTATTCTTGCCGTCCTACCCTTTAACCAGTTCCAAACTCCCTTAGTAAAGATAATGGCATTCCTAATCTAAATAATTTCATAATAAGGATTTCATGGACTACTTTGTCATACGCTTTCTTATAATCCACATATACAACTAACGACGGAACATTCGCGCTTAGATTGTTAGTTATCACTTGATACATTGAAAGAACCCTAGTTGGTATCAGACATTTAGGGCGAAAACCGGATTGTTCAGGAGGCAGAATAGAGTTATTTTCTGCCCATATCTTAATTCTTTGCATAAGGATTTTTTCGTAAATCTTCGAATGAGTCGATAACAAGGAAATTGGTCTCGTTTGTTCGCACATGGGAATTCCGGTTTTTAGCTTGCTTAAAATAACTAATTTCGTAATTTTCCAATCATCTAAGAACGCTCCTGTTTTTAACCACTCATTAAAACACTTTACTAGGCACTCTACATAACTTAACGGTAGAAGTTTTAACATGAAGTTTGATATATTATCATCTCCGGAGGATCTTTTTGCTTTTAATTTTTTAATAAACCGACTAACCTCTAATACTGACGTGTTGCTAACTGTATCCTTGCAGTTCACTATTTGATCTAATATTAATTTAAATTCGGAATTAGATGTGCCAGAAGGACTTGTTAGAAATTGATCTTTATAATAGTAAAAAAGACCATTAATTATCTCATTTTTGTCTGAGAGTACTTGCTCATTAACTATTAATTTAGAAATTGGGAGTGATTTAGGACGGTAAATACGCGATAGAAAATTCCAGAAAATCGGTTGCGATTGAGTGTGAGCATTATTAATGGATGAGAGAAAGGCATTCCATCTTTTAGTTTTATACGAGGTAATTTCTTTCCTCACAATACGATTAAGGTTATGCAAGGCAATTCTGTCCACTTCAAAATGATACCTGTAATAGAGATTTCTCAATTTACGTATGCTTCTTAATTTATTTAGAATATGTTCCGGAAGAGCTCGTTTATATTTATCTCTACTAACCCAATGTGTAAGCCTAGTCTTGAGTGCTGACAAAAACTCTACGTATAATTTATACTATTCTATGCTTAGTAGCAACTTCTGTTGATCGATCCAGAAATCTTGCAAAAGTAGCAGCGTAACTTGGTAAGCTTTCCAAGCCGTAATTGGAAACAGACCATTAGATTTAAGCACTATACTACCCACCTTATAGCAATTTGGCCAATGGTCGCTGGATCCGAATCTTAAAGTTTCGCCTTTAACTCCGCCAAAATTAACAAAGGTTAGATCGATATTCCGTTCCGATCTTTTTGAAGAATTAAAGGTATTCTTTACGTATTCAAAGTGGTTCTCTTCTATCCATTCTAGCAGTACAATACCACGTTTATCCGTTTCAGGACTACCCCACTCCAACACCGTCGCATTAAAATCCCCAGTAATAATCGTATTCTTTGTGATAAAGGGTTTAAAGTCGTCCAAATTTCTTGATTGACCTTGAGGCCAGTAAATACCTATCACCCTTAATTCCTCCGTAACACCAGCTATATCACCGATAACTGTGTTAGGGATTGAATTAGCTACACTCGATCCTTTAAGGTGTCTCCCTAAAGCCAAACATACTCCCCCGTTCTTATTCATACCTTCTTTATAAAAAAGATTGTGATCCATCATTCGAAAATCTTTCCACTCTCCAGTTTCAGAGCAAAAACAAAAGGACGAGTCGGTCTTATGTATGAGCTCCAAAACTTCCAAACTCCTCGTTAACAACCCTTGCACATTATAAGATGAAAAATTTAAGGAAATTTGGTGAATTGCAGTGTCTAGATTAGAGTTAAACTTATTCCACTTAAACAGAGTACTTTCAAGGGTGGAACTGGCATACCATTCGGAAAGACCTTCCAAAACTCTTTCGCAATCTTTTTTCAAAAAACCCCATTCCCTCAGTTTCCATTGCGCCTCGTTAATAGGATTTACATGGTTCAAAAGCGGACTAGGTACAAAAAACTTTGCTGAGGGGTTTAAAATCATCAAGAAATTTCAGCTGGGTCTATTATTTGCGGCGCCAACATAATCTCGCTACTATGAATGCTACCTGTGCTAGTTGAAATAGCCGTACAGTTACTAATATTGATGCCAAAATCTCGACTTTGTTGGGTCCGTTCGGCGAAGGATTTGGTTATCACTAATATTGGTTGCTTGATCATCTTCAGTTTTTCTTTATAATCACTTATCAGCTGTTGTTTAATTTCTTCCTTATCATTTGACTGAGACAGCGCTGTTGTTATTACCATTTCGAATAATGCTGTAACTGCTGGTAAAAAATCCATAATTACTTTTCCTAGTCCATTCATTCTATTATCAATTTTTTCATTTCACTACGAATAAATAAAGGTAAATCATTCGAGTTCTGTTGATTATCTTTATTCTTATCTTTCGCCCAAGGTGCTGGAGCTGACGATATGATATTTTCATTTAAGTGAGGAGGGTATTCATTAATATCTCTGGGAGGGGCGGTGGTTCGGTTGTCCACCAACGTTGCTTGTAACTTTCCTTCATTTATAGCCTGTTTAACTGCAACATTTAATTTATCCCGATGGTTTTGATTAATCAGACATTCTGGAGCTGTTGATAGGTGGTTTTCATCGCATTGAGCGCATTTTACATTCATTGAGCACGTATGTGATTGATTAGGAATAAGATATTCTAAACATATCTTACATTTAAAATATTGTTCAACACAGTCACTAATTCGATGACCAATTGACCAACATTTTGTGCAGTAAAGTATCCGATTGGCCGGAAAATATTCTGTTATTTGTCGTATAACATTCCCTATGCCTATTGCACCTTGGTTTAGTGCAATTTTATATTCTTCAAGATCTGGAACATCGAAGCGATAGTCCACCGATTTTTTGGGGAATTTGCTGATCAAAGTACGAAAGTTTGATGCTGACGTAATGGAGTATTTAACATCCTGTTCCACTCTGTCTTTAGAAATCGATTGAAGGACATTACGAAGTACTACTGAAAACTGGCTTGGTACGAACTGAGGTTTTAAAACTGTAATCGTCTTATCACAACATTCCCCAGGCCACTTATCTGAGATTAATAATTTATGATAGTCCTCTCTGTTGTTAACATACAATTTAAATCGTTTGTTTACTGGTCTGATTAATGAGAACCCTTGAAATTTAACACCAGCTTTCCATAGGTCTTTTTGAATGAATGATTTAACATGCATAGCTCCAGGCAACCTATCTTGACTTAATTTTTCTTCATCTTCAAATTTAATTACGAACGGAGGCAAATCATGTGAAATAGCATATTTTAAAAGATTCCAATTTATTCCTTGTTGAACGCTATGTTGGCTTTGCTCTTCATATAGACTCACATTTTGACCCTGTTGCTGAGCATATTGTTGAGTATTTTGATTTGAGTGTTGCAGTGCATGATTTTGATTTTGGTACATTTGACTTTCAACAGTATTAAATTCATTCAAATTTAAATTATGACTAGTCTTAGATTTTTTACTTTGATTGTCATCGAACAACCTTGGACTTCTTTGTTGTAAAGCTGAATGTGCTTGGTTTTGACTTGGGATTGTCTGGTACAACGGTTGCTGTTCATAAATAGGTTGTTGTTGATGATTCTGAACTAATTGAGGGTATTGACCTGATTGCCGTTGTTGCATTTGATAATTAGAATTTTGAGCCAGAATTTCTATCAGTTGACCATGCGTCACTGGTTCCATCGATGTATAAGAATTTTGTACCTCAATACCACCATGATTATCCTTTGGATTTGATTGAACGTTAATATTTCTTCGTTGATTTACTATGCCGTCTCTAGAGTTTCTTCTATTGAATTCAATTTGATTAGGATACACCATTTTGGTTTACTACTGAGCCAAACAACTAGTAAAGAGTATGGACACGTGGAGAAAGAGTAAAAAGTAGGTTAACTAAAGCACAATGTGAGCGAAAGTATCGAACGCGTTCGGACGAAAATTGTAAATACGATAATTTATATTTTTCTCATCAGAGACATCGACGAGCGCTCTGCTGACAAACTATTAAGACAAAGCACCATAAACCTTATAAAGATACATTCAAATTAGAGCTGCAGCTGTCTGTCTACTTTTTTCTGTACGGTGAGAAAAACCATTTTTGCATGAAAACAAAGTAAATCAATCTGCTATATAGAGGACACGTTAGTAAGTAATTAGAGAGTAAATCAGATATAATGGAAACTAAAGGTACTTTCGACTTCCTGGAATAAAGTAAACATAAATTTGCTGCTCTGATTCAAACTTTTCTTTACATACCTACCTACGGCTACGGCGTAATCAAGGCTGCTCCTCCGTTTGGTGTAATCTTGATCATTTTTTCTGTTTTACAAAGATTTCTTTCATGTGTTTCTTCGTTCTCATGTTTTTAGCTTTGACAAACTATTTCTTTTAAACCTTTGGTAGCGATTCAGTAGAAGACACATTCGCTCACATTGTACTTTAGTCTATTTTCTCACTAGTTAGTTCCTTCAAAAGCTTCAATTTCATTCAATTTACCTTTAGTCCAGATCAGGCATGCAACCATCACAAGCTAGGGCTCGCTGATCGGCAGCGAACATGTTCAGTAGCGAACCGTTCGGTGGCCGAACATGTTCGGTTACGAACGGTTTGGTCACCGAACATGTTCGGTTGCGAACCGTTCGGTCACCGAACTATCGGTATGGTGCATGCCTAGTGGACACATTAAAATGAGACACCTCCTAGCTCTATACGGCCTTTCTTTGCAAAGTTATAGAATTTACAAGAATGCCGGCTACAATCATGGCGCATTAAAAGAAGGTTTTGAGTACTTTTTAGAGTCCTTGAAAAACTGCTTTTTCAGAAAATCGGGCATAGAAACGAATCCTTTTACGATATTTACCACCTGACTGAGGTCTATCGATACATGTACAAGTCGTTGGAATTGGAGGGGAACATCTCGAAAGGTTGCCTCGTGAACAGACATAAATGTGCGCATAGATAAGAGAGCAACGTTCGTCCTGCGCATGTGGTAAGATGACAAACGGTATCGTTTTTCTTTCGTTCGTCAACTTCTATAAAAGACCCAGTACATGTGACAAGATATGCGTGAAGTCCGATGGAACAAAAAAATAAACGCGCTACCACTATCCTCGCATTTTCAAATAACTTTCTCTCGTGCACTCGTACTCGTCTGTAATAAACTGAGATGAAATACAAATTTGCCCAAAGCATGAACTTGAAAAACAGCTTTTTTCTGACAGAATACCAAACCTCCCTAAAATCTTTATCGTACGAATAGAATAGAAAACTCGGATCTTTTATTGTGTCATGCCCTTTAATTGAATTGTTACGAACAATTGAAAATGATTTATTAAGGAAAATTGTCTTGTTCCAACCTTCAACCCACCCTTCATTATAACGTTAATATTGCTATCGGCGCCAAAATTCAATGCACTCCGTTGTTTTTCGAATAACTCCAAAACGATAAAAGATGGAGGCTTGCGATTTTCAACAATCAAAAGAGGAGAGCTTAGCCTACGTTTTCAGAAAATCTACCTGCTCAGTACTATACAGTTCACTAAACGCTTTAAAAATCAACAGAAAATACTTTGATTTTTGAAAAGATTTTGTAGAAATCTTCCGAAGTGCTCGAATACTTTTTGCTATTCTCAAGTCACAAATCGTATTGAGCAGGCACAATCTCGATATTCTGACATAAACATGTCGTTTTTTTTTGAGGTTTAAAGGCGAAAGTCTACATCTAGTGTACGTCATTTGGAAAAAACCCCAAAGCTAACAGTTTTCTACAGTTTCACTGAACGACCAAAGATCTCTAAATCTTGAGAAACTAAGTCAAGGAACATACTCTTGAGCACTCATGAACACTCAAAAAAATTCGGTTTTTATGTTGTACACCAAAATCGTTTTGTATGTTTCTCTCCTTCGAACAATTTTGCTGCTAAGGGCGAGGAAGAAAAATGTTGAAAATGCGGTTCAACTTCTATCTCTCACTTTATTTGAACAATTTATAGGACATTTCCTTTTAAATATCGTAGAATTGCATGATATCTCAAACTAACTTGGCCTCTATTCACTCATTTTAGATAATCGTCTATCATATCATATTTTAATTACAAAGAAATTCTTTGTCGAACTACCAATTCATATTTCTGTCAATTCTCTTCTATTTGACTACGATAGTTTACTGTTTACAATCGAACATAGATCTTCTTCCACTTCTCTTCCATCAACTGAACTCCTTAATTTAACCTGTTATGATCGTACACAATTTATTCGACGTACATTAGCTAATATAGTGCAAAATTCTTCATCAATATTACCTCAATGTAAAAAAAATCGAATTACTAGTCTTTATGGTTGTATTCTCATTCAAGGTATTCTACTTTCAATTCAACTCTTTAATCGATCAGATTCATGAGTAGGAGTGGCACATTACTGTTACTTTTATGAGTGATCCAAATATTGTATGTATTCCTGTTGCCAGTAAGAGTAATACTTTTCAGTTTTACTGTTGCTGGTAATAGGAATATTCATAAAATTTGTACCGGCAACAGTAAAACTGAAAAGTATTACTGTTACTGGTAACAGGAATATATGCGATATTTGCATTACTCCTAAAAGTAGCAGTAATGTGCCACTCCATTTATGAGAACCCGTACAATTCAATTTTTTCAACGAGTACCTTTATTCAATTCTCTGGTCAAAGTAATAAATCCAAATTGTTAAACTTTACAAAAGTTTTCTATTTTGAGTTTTAAAATTTTTACAAAATGAAACCAAAACTTTTTCTCTTAATGCGACTGTTTTTTAATTTATTTATTTTTGGAGCTGTTCTTTTTTTTGAAATTTTGAACTGTGGAACAGTCGGAATAGCTGTTACGTAGAGTTTTTTACGTAACTTGTATCTTTCTTTGTGTTAGTGTCAACAATGAATTATGTTTTCATATTTTATTAACAAAAGCTTGTTCAGATATGATATGAACTAACACGAGTGAGTAGTAGTTTATTTACAAAGAAAAGAAACTCTCTCTCTCTCTCTCTTCGTGCTTTTTGATGTTGCGTTTGAAGCACCTTTTGGAGGTGGGGCTTGTCGCTTTTTATTTTTTGTCGTTGTTCTCGGTGTGGCTGGAGGCAGTGTTAGTCTTGTTGTTGCTGTTTGTTGTTTCGGTCCTGGTACCGATTTAGGCTGTGGGTCGATAGACTGTATTGATTGATTAATAGTGTGCTCAGTGGCAAGTGCGGCTTCACTGAATCGTCGTTGCGGATTGTGGACTTGTATAAGATTATCTACGGATGATACGACTTCGTCTGACAGGAATTCTGCCACTGCGTTTTCCGTTTCATATGATGCAGTCTGACTTCTCAAGATTTTGGATGCTTGCTTTATTTGACTGAATGTACCAAATGCCTCGATGAAGGCCATTTGTACTTCTTTCCAGTTGTAACTCAGTAATGTTTTCTGCTCTAGACGATACCATGATTTTGGTCCACCAAGTAATTGGAACCGAAGCCATAATCGACGTTGATCGTCGTCAGAGTCAGCTGTTGAGCAGGCTTCATTGAAAGCCATAAGCCAATGTACTACATTTTGACCAACCTCGCCAGTGAAGGGTAGTAATTCGCAAAACGATTGGAGTTCCGATGTCGTTGACGGTGTTAAACTTGATAAAAAGAACTTCTGAAAACTCAATGCCATTTGTTTCCTACCTTCACGTTGATGTTTCTTCTCTTCTAATAGATGATCGTGTTGGTGAATTGCTGGCTGCCGTTGAGTTGCTGTTGTTTGTCGGGTGTCCACGCTCAGAAATTACTATTAAGCCCAATTAATCAATAAATACTACACCTAGTTGAATCCAACAGTTCAATGGTAGGATCTCCAGTTGTTCCGTAGCGTTTTTTACGTAACGGGAAAAGACTGGGCAAAATGTGATAGTTTTTGGTCTTTGGAAATCAAAATTTGAAGTAGAAAACTTGACGCTAACAAAATTTTCATTGTGAAAAGTATTATTTTTCTGAATAAAAAGACCTTTATGATCGTCGATCATTGTTTTCTGAAGAATTTAGTAAATCTGTGCTGTAGAGAATTAAATTTTCTACAAAATGAGCTATTGGTTTAAAGTGGAAGATCAGTGCTCTAAAAATCACGTACAAATAGTAGAGTAGTAAAAAATAGTGAATCGTTGCCGTTGTACGGTCTGCCCCTATAAAAGAGAAATTTGAAGAAAATATTCACGACGATACAAATTTATCATTTAAACAGCGTGGTGATTTAGCTTATGATCTTTTTCAAACATGATAAAGCAATAGAATACTATAATAAATTTTTAGAACAATTAAAGAATAAAAATATGTAATATATAATATTACTCGATTATTAATGAAGCATATTTCCGTTTGGCTTGGTCATACGCATCATCGCAAAACCGTGCTTACGATCAAAAATTATTTGATATTTATTTTAAAAAGATAATGAAAAACATGATACTTTAGATACAGCTGATATTTATCAAAATATTGGTCAGTTGCATACACGTCAAAGCATGTATCAAGAAGCTTTAGATTATTTTAACAATTCTTTAGAACTTCGATTAAAATTAGTTTTCAAAGATGATAAAAGCCCAGCCGTGTCAGAAGAATTTATAATTATTTCAACATACACGGAATCATTCTACAGTACTATTCGCTTGAAAACGGCTATGTTAAAATGATCATTTCATATGTCTTTTATTATCGCTTTTCTTACAGGACTTAATACACAGTTTTGTGATCAAAGTGGTGGATAATTGCGACTTAAATACATGCAGTCTAGATAGCAAAGGGAGCCTCCATTATGTAAACAC